CTGGAGCTCACTTGGTAGCCCAGGCTGGCCTCGAACTCACAGAGATCCGCCTGCCTCTGCCTCCCGGGTGCTGGGATTAAAGGCGTGCGCCACCAACGCCCGGCAGACATCATGTTTTATTGTGTGTGTGTGTGTGTGTGTGTGTGTGTGTGTGTGTGTGTTAGATATTTTTAGTTTGTTTGCTTTGATTTTTTTTTTTTTGTTTTTGATATAGAGAAAAAGAGAACATGAAGTTGGGTAGGTTAAGGAAGTACGGAAGAGTTTGGAGAAGGGAGGGGAAATAATATGATAAAAATACATTGTATGAAATAATTTATAAACAAAAATTTAAAGGACCCAAATCAATAAAATTAAAGATGAAGAGACTTATACTAGATACCAGTATAATACAGAAGATCACCAGAACATACATAATGTTCTAGTCCAGTAAACTAGAAAAATCTAGAAAAATGGACAAATTCCTAGACACATTTTATCTCCCAAAATTTAACCAAGAGGATAGAAATAACTTAAAAAAAAAAATCTGTACCAAGCAGTGAACTAGAAAGGGTGAAACCCGGGAAGATGCCAGGCCTGCCTGGCATCCCGGGGCCTGGGCAGGCAGACGCCACTGAGATGAAGTGTGTGATGGAGGAATGATGAGGAGCAGCAGAGCCGTTCCTGTGCTGTGGGGAGAAGCGGAACTTAAGCTGTGCCGGCAGGGAGGGACAGGCTGATATGGGTGGCCTATGCGGCCACCTGGGGTCACGTGATGTCCAGGCCGTGCTGCCCCTGGGAGCCACGTCTGGGTCTATGGCCCGCAGGGATGCCCGTGGTCTGGGCAGCCACCTTCAATTATGCTGAAGTCCAAGGGCCATGCTACTGCTGGTGCCATACTAATCTGAGTGGCCTGCGCTGCCACCCCAGGCTACTTTTACCTCCAGGCCTGAGCTGTGGCTGAGGGCCATGTCTGGGTCCGTGGTCCTACCACAGAGGGTCTGTGTTGATGTCCATGGCCCACTGATGTTTGTTACCACGGCGTGGGGGGGGGGGGGGGGGGGAGAGCTGACCCTGATGAAGGCCTGGGAGAACTGGCCCTACCTCGCTGTCCTCTGCAAAGGGAGAGCTGGCCCTGCACTCAGAAGAGCTGCTCCCACCCCTCACCACGCCTGAGGGAGAGCTAGTCCTGACCCTTGCCTAACGGGGTGGGGGTGTGGGGTTCTGGTGGAGGCCCAGACCTACCAACTCAGCTACCACCCAGCCCCATATCCAGGGATTTGAATGGGCCTCCTCCAATATTAACCCTGTCTGGAGCAAGTGAAGGGACCAGTCCTGTGGAACCATAGCTGCAAGATACCTGAGAGACGTTTCAGTGAGGGTCCCATATGGATGGTGTACCAGAAGCCCGAGGCCTTGAACCAGACCAACAACTCATTTCAATAAACATTTGCAAGTAAAGCTATTTGGACAAAAGCGTACACTGCCTGACACCCTGCAGTTTCCAAGGCCACTCCAAAGAATGAATATGTGTTTGGGAAGCAGGAAAGACAGAGGAGGGAAATGAATGTGTGTGTGTGTGTGTGTATGTGTGTGTGTGTGTGTGTGTGTGTGTGTGTATTTAATTATTTTTATTATTAGTTTTTAATTTTTTGATAGGGGAGGCTACAAGGGCGGAGTGTAGACTTGGAAGGTCTGGGAAATCAGTGGGATTGGGGTACATAATGTGAAATTCCCAAAGAATTAATAACAATTATGTTAATTTAAAAAAAGAAATGGTAAAACGTCTCACAACTGGAAAAAAAAAAGCTCAAGTCTAGATGGAGTCATTGCTTAATTTAACAGACCTTTAAAGAAGAACTGGTGGGGCTGGAGACATGGCCCAGTGGTTAAGAGCACTGGCTGCTGTTCCAGAGGACCCAGGTTCAATTCCCAGCACCCACATGGCAACTCACAACGGTCTGTAATTCTAGTTCCAGGGGATCTGACATCCTCACACAGACATACATGCAGACAAAACACCAATGCACACTAAATGAAAGAAAAGCAAATAAATCTTTAAAAAACTAGCAACTTCAAACTATTTCATAAAGCAGGAGAGGAAAGAATTTGATGCATCTTATACAGTCATTGGGTACCCCAATAGCCAATAATATGCATATATATGTAAACAGATGTGCATGTGGGTGCAGTATAAGATAGAGAAAAGAGAACAATAGAGGCTAAGGGATGAGGATGGAGTGAATGTAGGTAGTAGACACAAATTATGAAAGGATATAAAACAATTGTTTTTCTAGTAATAATTCTATAATGCAATTTTTGTTTTGCATGATGGAAAAGTTCATAAAATGTATTGTCTTGAAAGTATAAAATTTGATGTGAAGCTTCCATTTTGAAGCTGTATAGACTTTGGGTTGGTTAATTTGGGTGTGTGGTTATTTGTTTGTTTGCAAGTGTTCTATGATAAATCTTTTTTCAAATGGGTAAGAATGAAACAACAATTATGGGCTAACCACTTTGATGAGCACGAGAACAAAAATTCTCAGTAAAATACTTGGAAACAAATTCAATCCACATCAAAAGATCCCTCACCATGAACAAGCTGCCTTCATTTCAGCAACGCAACATGCATAAATCAATACATTTAACAATTCACATAAATGGACTCAAGGACAGAAATCACGCAATTATCTCAATAAATACACAAAAGGTCATTGACAAAGTCAAACAGCCTTCATGATAAAAACTCAGAGTAAACCAGGAGTGGAACAAATGCATCTCAACATTATAAAGGATATATATGACACAAGCCTAATCAACATCAAACCAAACAGGAAATCTGGGAGCATTTCCTTCACAATCTGAAATAAGACAAGGATGTCCCTTTCTATACTCCTACACTGTATTCCTTAAAGTCTTATCTAGAGAATTAAGACTGAAATATCAATAATGAAAGGATGCTGTAATGGTAAATATTGATTTTCAACTTGATAGGCTCTAGAATCACCTAGGAAACAAGCCTCTGGGACACCTGTAAAGAATTATTAGATGACGTCAACTCCTAGGCATGCCCGTGAGAGATCCTTTAGACTAGGTTAACCTAGGTAGGAACACCTACTATAATCTCGAGTGAAACCATCTCATGGCTGAGTTCCTGAACTGAACACAAAGGAAGAGTCAGCTGAGTGCCTGCCAGCCTTCATCATTCTTCCCTTCCCAAGTGTGACCAGCTCGCCTCACACTCCTGTTACCAGGATTTTCTCACCCTGATGGATTCCATCCCATTTAAATACAAATGGAAGCAAACCAGCCTCCTGAGCTGCTTGTCCACACTTATTTGTTACACAGTTTGTTACAGTAATGAGAAAGGTAACTCGTACAGATACAAATCGGAAAGGAAGAGGCCAAAGTATTTCCATTTTCAGGCAGTCTGATGACTAATGTAAAAGGCCTTAAGACTCCACTAGAACACACTTAAAACTGATAAATGCTTTCCATATGACAAAGTCCAGAAGAAAACTGCTGAGCCAATATTTTATCTCCAGGTAAGTGTGAGGCACATTGGCCACCTTCCTCCTCTCCTCCTCTCCTCCTCCTTCTTCTTCCATTCTTCCCTTTCTCCCTCCCTTCTTCCTTCCTTTCCTTCCTTCCCTCTCTCCTCCTCCTATCCCTTTCCTTCTTTTTTTAGCTATATGTTTTCAGTAGCTCCAGTTCTTAAATTCACATATAAGACAGGAAATAGAATGAACAACATAAACAGCTGTGATGGTTTTTTAAATCAAAAACAAGGAAGACAGAGGAGGCGTTTGAATGGCACCTTTCTTTTACAAACAGTGAAGAAAGACTTGGTTAGAAATGAGAATGGAAAGATGCTGTGAGTAGTTATTGGATAGGCAAGCAATAGTGTGTACCATTTTCCTACTTACAAAATGGAGTTCATAGTTCCTACCAACAACTCATAGTCTTAGGAAGTTCAGAAAGGATAAATAAGTGAAAGAGATTTCTAGAATGTCATGTGCTACAGTTTGTAACTGGGACAGGCCTCAAAGATCCACATGAAGCTTGGTCCCAGTCTTCTGTCATTAGGAGATGGAGGGACTTTAACAAGAAGGATCCAGCAGAGAGAGCATTTGAGAAATGGATGTGTGGCCTTAAAAGATATGGACTGTGGTGGTTTGAAAGAAAATGGCCCCCAACGGGAGTGCCACTATTAGGAGGTGTGGATTTGTTGGAGTGGGTGTGGCCTTTTTGGAGGAAACCATACCCAGGGTCTCAGTTCACTTCCTGTTGCTTGAGAGTCAAGATGTAGAACTCTCAGCTACTTCTCCAGCACCATGTCAGCCTGCACACCGCCATGTTCCACCATGATGATAATGGACTGAACCTCTGAACTATAAGTGAACCACCCCAATTAAAGTTTTTCCTTTATAAGAGTTGCCATGGTCATGATGTCTCTTCACAGTAACAGAAACCCTTAGACAGGGACCCTAGAATCCTTTCTCTTTCTCTTTCGCATGGTCATGAGGTAAGTGGCCATGTCTCCCACAAGGTCCCTGCCATAGGCCCAAAGCAGTCAGGTCAACTGACCATGATCTGAAACCTCTAAAAACTGGTCAAAATCAGCCTTTAGTTTTAGTTGTTTTTATTTTGTAATTTCATTTTATGCGTATGGGTGTTCTGCCTGCACATATGTGTTCTCCACATATGTGCAGTGCCCCCAGAGGCCAGAAGAGGAAGCGAGAGTCCCTGGGACTGGAATTAAAAATGACTGGAAGCCACCCTGTGTGTGCTGGGAATGGAACTCTGACTCTCTGTAAGAGCAGCTAGTGCTCTTAACTGTTGAGCCATCTCTACAGCCCCAGAAACTTTTATTTTTATAAACTGATTAACTTGGGTACTTGGTACAGAGGTAGAAAACAGCCTGCCTTACCTCACAAGCTATTATGCGTATAATATGAAAATATTCCTCAATACTGCACTAAATCACAGTAGATATAAAAATATACAGTTACCTTAGCTTCTGAGAGAGGACCTTTGATGATACGATATACTGAAGCAGTCTGATTCTTCTCCTTTTGGAATGTATAGGACTGTTGCCATAGCAATAACAGTAACCATAACAGTAGGTCATCAACACTTCATTACAATTTAATGACAGGAAGAGAAAGAAGAATATCTTGTCATTTTAGTTGTACGGGAGAATTTTGGTAAGAACATGCTGTGACTTGGCCAGGATCTGCACTCCTAAGAAAACACCGAGAAAAGCCAAACTGTCCGTTTTATAGCTTATTTCAAAGAGCCAGTGTTCCGAGGCATGGTGTCCTCATGTGTCATGTGGAAATACGGGCTAGGCGGGAAAAATTCACACACTGAATCATCTATGTCACCACCTAAGGTTTTGCCATTGTCTTCCACACACTGGAAACAGAGACTGTCTGGTCCCCAGCTAGCTAGAGCTGCAGATTCTCCTAAATTTTTAAAAATCAATTTATCCTGCAGTAATGTGCTGAATGCTACTTTTGAACTGTTAAGTATTGCTTGCCATGATAGAGATTATTTTGTTTATGAGAATGGATACTGAGTGCCTTATTATCTTACTGAAGGGTTACAATTCCGTGTGTATTTGGTCAATAGAATATAAGCCAGAGACATCATCACATATCACTCAGAAATACTCCAGAAAGTATCCCTAAAAAAAAAACAAAAACAACAAAAAAAAAACTTTCCTTGAATTCTGTGCAAGCTACCCAAGACTGGATGCAAGTACCCACATAACAATCCAGGTGTGATCCCTCTCAAGCCTGTAATCCCAGCACTGAGGGACTGAGGGGCCAGTGACAGAAGACTAGCTGGCTGCCAGCATAGTTAAAAAGCACCAGCTCCAGGTTCACAGAGAGGCCATACTGTAAAGGAATAACGTGGGGAGAATCATAGAGGACACTCAATGCTCCCCTCTGTACACACCATACATACATAAAACATTCCAATCATTTTCTATGCATCCTTTACAGCTTATTCTTATATGCTGCCATGAACCATAGAGCAATGTTTCAGTCAGTGATGAGTTATGTAATAGATGTATAATAGTGGTCCTATAGGGTTAGAACGAAACTGAAAGATTCCTTTCACCCATACCAACATAGCCATCACAGGGCTCAGTACAACGCATCACTCACCTGTCTGTGGTGCCGCTACTGTAAGTAAACAGCCAGTTATGGGAAAGTTCAGCTGTGCAATGTGTGCAGTGTGGAAGAAATGAGCATGTTTCTGATTTATCAGGCTGCCACTTGTATCATTATTTTATAGGATAATTCTTTTAATTTTATTTTTTTCCTCCTGTAATGGATGTATCAGTTCAATCACAACAAAAATTTAAACCATAAATCCATACAATAAATTAATTCTGTAACCTCGTGCAAGCAAGTATTGCTGTGAACCCTTCAGAAACAGAAGACGGCAAAGACGTATTCATAGAAGATGAGGAGCACGTGCAAATGGCTGGGTGGTGTCAGACCTCTTATTCCAGTGAACATGTACAGGGACTGTCCTAACTCCGAATGTCTTCCAGGAGTACCCACACCCTGGAGTGCTTCTGGCAAGCGGAACAGGTCTACCGGGGATTGAACAATCTACAGCTGTTTACTGAAAAACAAGATGCCATTGGTGCCCGCAGCAGCCTAGCACAAACGTTCGCTCTAACTCCTCACTGCACAAAGAGACCATGGGACGTGGCTGACGGACCTATGCCCTTTGTGCTTGCGTGAATACACGCCATGATGATGAAACACCCCATGCTGCATTTCTCAGAATGTATCCCTGCCATTATGGGATGCATGGCTGCAAATCATGTGTCATGCACAACGTTGTAAATGTCGACGATTTAATTGATGAGGTTGCAAGTTTGAAATGTGTAAGGCAGGCTTGCCAACTGGAAACTCTCAGACGGTGGGATATCCCTGTGGTTATGAGCCAGAATCCCCTCTCCTCAAAGAAACATCACTTTGTGCTGTTTTCAACTGGTTGGACGCGAACCCCTCACATTGTCAAATAGAATCTGCTTTCTTTAGAGTTGTTATTGTAAACCTGAAGCTGTCTCTAGAGCACCTCTATAGCAATGCCTGTGTTAGCATTTGCTTGAATAAGGAGGCAAAGCAGCCTTGCGAAGCTGACACACAGCCAACTATTACTCTATAGCTTAGTTTACCCCTCTGTCCTGTGCTGTCCAATATGGTAGCTGTTACTGAGCCATTTAAACACGGCTTGTCTCAACTGAAGTGTGCTAGGACAAAAATCTGTGCCAGATTTAGCAGTCATACTACAAAAAAAAAAAAAGAATGTAAAAGATCTCATTAATATTTTATAGTGGTTACATGTTAAAGTGGTAGTGTTTTAGGTAGGTTACATAAATTTCAATTACTGAAATATGTTCACTGTTTCATTTTACTTACATGTGCATACTAAAAAATTTTAAATATATTTTAAATTTTAAATATATGGTATACACTTCTTTCTTTCTTTCTTTCTTTCTTTCTTTCTTTCTTTCTTTCTTTCTTTCTTTCTTTCTTTCTTTCCTTCCTTCCTTCCTTCCTTCCTTCCTTCCTTCCTTCTTTCTTTCTTTCTTTCTTTATTGGTTTTTCGAGACAGTGTTTCTCTGTGTAGCTTTGTGCCTTTCCTGGAACTCACTCTGTAGCCCAGGCTGGCCTCGAACTCATAGAGATTCGTCTGCCTCTGCTTCCTGAGTGCTGGGATTAAAGGTGTGCACCACCACCATCGCCTAGCACACATTTCTTTTTTAATGTCGCCTTTCTAGTCTTCATATGTTTTGTAATTTAGAAATTAGACTCTAGAAGATGAACTAGAGCCAAACTTCCCCAGTGAGCGCTGATATTTTAGACGGTCTTCTACACCTCTTTTGACAATAGCAAGTGTTACCTGAGTGCAGTCAGTTATTTAGAGTGCAGCCACCAGCTTGGAGGATGGTCTTTTAATTTCTCTTTGATACAATTACACTTTTGGTCTTGGGTCAGGCAGCACTTTGTGTCATGTTATGTTGTTATCATAGTTTCTCATCAATAGTTTGTCTAACGAGTTCAATAGTAAATTCTAATAATCAGCACAAAGTATTTCCTGAGTGAAGTTAGCCAGCTTGCTTGAAGACGTCCCACCTCTGCATGCTGGACTATGCCTGGAGTTTAGATGAGTTCTGGGGGTAAACTCTGTATGTAACTTTTGTGTGACAAGCACCTCATCTGCTGAGCCATTTTCCCACCCACTAAGAGCCATTTTATTAGTGTGTGAAAGACAAACCATAGGTCAGGCAAGCTATCAATTTTGGCAGCTGCCAGGATGAAAGAGATGGAAAAAAAATGGAAACAGTCACGCTTCTGATTTGGAACAGCAATGGTGTCTGTAAGCTGAAAGCGAGTGTCAGGGCAAGCATTCTTAGGATTTTGACTGGTATTCAAAGAGACAGAAGGGGGAAGAAAGTTACACCTTTGGGTTAGAACACAGGAAAGTGGACAGACTTGACAACGATCTGTGAGTCACTGCATCAGTGGAGGGAATTCTAGTGTGTGTAAGAACATTATCCCATCTAAGGGATAGTTATCCCTTCTATCACTTTAGCATGTCTTCAAGTAGATCGGCCTGCCTGAGAGGTGGTCTTCTAATCAGGAGATTGACAAGCCCGGTTGATTTAATTCTTATGGGAGGGACAATACTATGCCATGTTCTAATGTTTGGGCCAGAATGCCATGACTAGCTAGAGCCAAAGGTAGAACTCAGAATCCAACAGAAAATTAACTCTTATCAAAGTTATCTTAATTTGCTCTAGACCTTTTTGTTTGCTTGCTTAGGCTTATTTAGATTTAAATTCAAATCTAAGTCTTTCTTCTTTCTTCCAATTCCTTCTCTCCAAAAATGGTATGGTTTTGGGAACTGAGGTGAAAGGTACCTTGTTCATGTGAGAATTTCCAAGGTTTGCAAATGAAAGCAGAAGACACCCTCCTTTTAGTTCACCCACAGCAAAATATGCGTCTTCTACTCAGTCACTAGGTATGTGTAGAGGATGATGCATCAATCTTGTGGCAGAGAGGAATTGCTAGGTAGGGTAATCCACAACCACTACTGACACCTGCTAGGACACAGACGATGTAGGATCCTATCACCCTGCCCAGAGGCCCCGGAAGCTACAAGAGCATCTCTTTCTTGTTCATCTAATTTCCCCCTTAATGCTGGCTTCTCTTTGAGACATTTTATCTTCCATCCAATTCAATAAATACCACTAGTTTTGATGTACAGGGTCAAAGAAAAATTTTAAAAAATCCCCCCAAAATAAAACAAAACAAAACCCCCCACAACTTTGTGTTAATGTTTCTAAATTTATTTTGCTGAAAATGCCTTGGGAGACTTACGACTTTGTATCCTGGCGCCTGCCCTTTCCTACCTCTGAGATTTTGCTAGTGTGTCCCTTTCACACAGAGTAAACACTCTCATCCCTGTACCAGGACCTACAAAAAAACAAACAAACAAAAACAAAACCCCCCAAAAAACTAGAGATAAATAATTCCTTTTTCTTGTCTAACTATATTTCTTGTCTATATTTCTGTGACACTTACTTTATAAACATACATTAAGTATCTGTTACCAAGGTTTATTCTCTTTTACTTGAACTAGATCATATGCATTTTGAAAGGAGAATCACTATATGGCTCATAATTTCGTTTTTTAACAATATTTTATTAATTCTTTGAGAATATCACACAATATAATCTGAACGAATTCACCCCCTCCACCCACTTCTCTTATACCCTTTCCACCTAATTCTGAGTTCTCTTATTTTTTCCTCCCATGGAGTCCAATGTGTACTCCCCAACTCGTCCTAAGAGAGGGATCTTCCCTGGTTTGTGATCGACCTACCAGGGATCACACCATTAAAGAAAACTGACTGTCCCTCCTCCAGCAGATTAAATGCCCAAACTCCCCAGCTAGAGGTGGAATGCCATGCTCACCTTCCCGCTCCATGCTGAGCGTGTGTCTCCTTGAGTTTGCACGGGTGGTGTGCACGCAGACACAATCAC